TTTCTTGGGTTTCTGCTGCCCGAGGTATTCACTGAGCACTCGGTCAGTTGGGGCCATCTTCCCAATGTATTCTTGGATGTTACACCTTGGATGTTACACCAGCTGGATAGCGTAGTGGTTAGACTACACGCCTTTGGAACAGAGGATCGCAAGTTCGATTCCTGCCTGACGGATGGCCAAGCTTGAAACCTGGATCCCCGTAGCCAGTTACCAAGATTACGTGAAGTACCCTCAGAAGGTCTGCTAGATGATGTTAATGCAGCACTACGGGCAATATATATATATATATATATGTGTGTGTGTGTGTGTGTATTTTTATTTTTTGCACTGCATTTAAAAAACCCCCACATGAGTTCAATCATCATCAAATGTGCCTGACCCAGATTTGGTAGCGTCCCTCTAAGAAGATAATCAAGAAGATGCCTAATGCTACTTTGGGCTGCCTGTTTTGGACTCCTCCCGGGATCAAACTGGGGATCCATTGATCACACAAATGTGAAATAAAACGTTTCCTTTTATTTTGATGTGGTGTGCACATAGTTTTCTTTTAGTAAATGTTCTCCCACTGACTAAACACTTTGTGTTCCTGTGGACTACAGAGTCCTTGGCCAAAGTCACTTCATGCCGGTGTTTGTTTTTCCTTTTAAGCTTGATGCTGTAAACTCTGCAACACCTCAGTTCCTAAAAAAATCCAAAAATAAACACAAAACATCAAATTTAACTTGTTCTGTTTGACCGGATTAAATTTTAGACTCCAACAAGAGATTTATTGTAGTTCCACTCTTCCACATAGCAAGCAAAAATAAACAGGCTCTGCTTCCAGGAGAAGTTCTCCAGGGGGGGGGGTTTCTAACAAAAGCACTGGAGGGCAGACTTCCTGACTACAGCTTCTCAGGTCTCAAAAGATCAAATGGAAGTAGCTCGAAACTCATCAAACATATATAACAGCTGTGTCTGTGTTAAAGTAAAACATTCATTTAGGACAGGTGAAGCTTTATCAGCTTTTTCTTTGCTCTTTGTTTGAAATGCAATATCAGCTCACATAGTGAATAAAACAAATACAACTAAAAAATGAACAAACGCTAAAAAAAGCTTCATAAAGGCTTCCCTGCTGAAACACTGATGGCTATTTCCTTTAACACAGGAAAACAAGGAGGAGTTGCAAACTAAAGCCGCTCTACTGAAACTGTGATTTAAAAAAAATTAATGTGAAATTTATTCTCCAGTTTGTCAAATTCAAAAGGTTTGAGGCTCCTGGTTCTGGACTGAACCAGTACCAAAGACATGGTCAGTTGTAGCTAGAACCAGCACAGACAAAGAGTGACTCACACTAGGTGATCTGTACCGTGGTCAATGCTGATCGCCACCAGAGCAGCGCCCTCTCCCAGATCAGCTGATCTGAGTGCACAAGAGCGTTTGACCTGCAGAGTCCAGTTCGTAGAGTACAGTGACCATTTGATAAGGTGGGCCCGGCACGTTCAGTTGGACTCAGGCATGGTCTCTGTGCACTGTGCCATCTGCACCTGCCGACTGATCTCCAGTGCGTCACCAACAGCAGCTGCTCCATACAAATGTGTTTTTAATCACCACATGAGAGACTATAGTGTCTCACCGTTTCTCTGTTAGGGCACACATGCATAAATTGAGGCCCAATCCACATAAACAGGTATTTTTGTAAGCATTGCTTTTTCCTTGCATGTTGGCCTTTCTTCTCTTTGGGAAATATTACGGTGTGATGTTCTGCCTGAGAAAGAGTCGGTATAACTCAGCTGGTAGAGTGTGAAGGTTTGGATTGTTTCCACAGGGGATCTGCTCACTCACAGATCACCACCTCCTACAAAGCTGTTACATGTTAGGTAGCCTGGTACTTATACAGTGCTTTCTGCTCAATTTGAGCACTCAAGGCTCTATTTGAGTGCTCAGTCTTATTTCAGTCTCAGCAAAGTGGCGTACATACACAGAGAGGTGAAGACAAAGCAAACTGGTTTATTCTGTGTCATGCAACTCTCAGACAACAGCACTGTCTAAGGTGGCCTTTGCAGTGAAAGGAGCTTATGAATAAAGTTAAATGTCTCCTGATCCCCAAGGATTGAACCGAAACTCTGTCATCGATCCATGATGTGTGTGTGTGTGTGTGTGTGTGTGTGTGTGTGTGTGTGTGTGTGCTCAGAGACGACAGAATTACAATTATAATGTGCCTGTAACAGCCACAGGTGCATGAATAACTCACAGTTTACCGTTATTCTTATGTCACTGCATTACAAAGCTGCTTCTTCAGGTTGATGACAGTTTTCCAGCGTAGGGCTTGAGTCTTACAGTTTGGTCATCTTACCTCACTCTGGGTCCAGCATTAATAGCCCAACTTGTAGACACACCTCGTTCCAAAGACTGTGGATAAATAGCCTAAAAATGGAAAACTCTAAACATGGAAAACAGGGACAAGTGCTGAAACTCCGGGCATACAGGCGCAGCCGGGGCCTCCTCCCCCTCCTCTTTGAAGCAAAATCCAGGCAGTCTGGTTACAGTACACCATTCAGATTCAAATCCAGTCAGGCCAGTGCTCCCACTCTGCATCCATCAGCCTCCCATCACAGCATTCATACACCTGAGCAGCAAACTGTTAAAATCATAATTTGTGTTGCTGGAGGAAAAGAGTATTACCATCATTACTCAAACTCAAGCTAGATCCCAATCATGAGTGTCAATGGCACCAACACATTAGCCATGTGAACGCTCTGTAATTTCTGCCCTACGAGCAGTGAAAGAGCAGCTTTGTTCCTAGTGTAGAGGTCCTTTTTACTTTTTCAGGAGTGAAATCAAACACAGAGAAGGTGGGGGTGAGGCTTGATGGCAGGGTCCATTAATGAGTCCAGGTTTGACGTCAGGACAGCAGAAAACCATAAGGAATCTGTAGGGTGCCATTATTCACTTTATCTGATTAAAGGTTTAGTTTTTTATCATAAATCCTGCTGTGTGAAATATTTGGCTCAGAAATACCCTCGCATTTACTGTCACTTCATCTCTCCGAACACGTCTGATTGTGAACATCAGCTGAAGAATATCACCAAGTCATTTTCACCATGTCTGTGGGATGCTGCACATCCTTCCAGCTCCACCCGTTTCCCCTCTACACTCCCATCAAACGAATCACGAACCAACCCCTTAAAAACCCTGCACTGTTCTTTCAAAATAAAAGCATGGCATGATTCTGTTTTACTTTCTTTATAACTATGACACTTTTTTGGACACAAGTTAAATTCCAGAACATACAATAACGTTAAGTAACTAAAATAAGCTCGCTGACCCCCTGATTGAAATGTTACAAATCATACTTGAATAGTAATGCCAATATTATTATTTTAAGACAACAACACAGCTTTTTTTTGCCATTTTGAGGGCTCATAGTAATTACATCATCACTTGTCCAAAACCATGTGGGACAGCTTATAGGTTTCCATGTATCATCACATGAACTTCTTATGTTTCTATTATATTCATAATGAAAACAAATCCATGCAGTGAAATGTGTGATTATGACTAAACCTGGAGTGCAGAGATAAATCCCACTACGAGAGTTTTTATCAGTTCTTCTAAAATCATTTTACTGTGGCTGAAAAACTTCATCAGCAGCAATCCTGCCTCTGAGAAGCAATTGAAGTCACCATCTGCTCCATGTGCTCTTACTTTGAAAGCAGGTATCAGACCTGTCCAGACCTCATTCTGAGCAGCTTGATGGTGGCGTGCCCCCCCCCTGAGGTTTGACAGCCAGACCTGGTTTCAGGCTCCTTCCTCTGCACACAGCTGAGCATCCTGAGCTCTCTGCTCCTGCTGTTCGCCGGGACTTTTAAACTCTCAGCTTGGAGCTCAAGAAGCACACCGTGAAGAAGGATTTAACAGCCACAGGTGTGCCAGTCTTTCTACAACAGGTGAGTAATTTGCTTTTTTGCAAGGCTTTTTCGGGCATATTTTCTGAGGAAGGATGGATGCTCTTACTCATGCATATATGTTATTTGGGCGCTTTTCCTTAAATCTTATTTTCACAACAAATTCTGTGTTTTTACATCGTAAACTATACCTGTGAAAACCCCAGATAAGTTCAAGTCTATTTAACCTTCTGGTGCTGATCTGCATACTTGTATTTAGTGTTGTCTTCATTATATATCTGTTTGTAAGAATTACAGAAAATATCACTAAAGGAAGATACAGTATCTCACAGTAAACATTTAACTGCCCTGAGATAAATTACATATAAATAGCTCAGAATGTTACAAGTATTAGCCCAGAATTACAGAAATAAAGAAATCGTTTGATGTATTGTTTGCTTGAAATATCAGCAGTATGGTAAAAATGGCCTGTATTTGTATTTGTATTTGTGTAGCGCTTTACTTCGTCCCTAAAGACCCCAACGCGCTTTACACTACATTCAGTCATCCACACACACAAAAAATCATGACCATAAATAAGAATAACAGTTTTTTTGTCACCCCAGATGTTATGCCAAGTATAATCAAATCAAAAGTATAACAGATCGCTATGTCCACAGTGTAAGACAGGCAGGGGTTATTCCAGGACTTTTGCTTGTGGCATGGAGGAGGCTGTGAAAAAATCCCAGGTTTCAGGAAGTATAGTTCTCCTACCTGAAAATGGATCAATGTGAGGATTGTAATTGTGGAAAAACCTAAACATGAAGATGTTGCTGTCACAATGTAGCGACGCTTCAACAAATCTGGTTACAACTATAACCGTGCTTACAACAAGTGATGACATCACTAACACTGGGTTGGTTGAGGCTCTCGTCTTTTTTATGTGCTGCCGTTTTTTGGTGATGCGTTTCCTTCAGTATGATTCAGCTGTCATTCATGGCCTCTGCAGCCTTTTATTACTCCTGTTCATGGATGTACATCTTTAAGCGCTCTTTCTTAAAGCTCATTTTTTGATGCTTCGCCTCAGACCAGAAGAAGAACTGTGGCATTAAGTAGCACCAGTTCACTGACTCTTCGGCTCTTACTGGTGTTTCTGTTTTTCACAGTGCAACATGTTCATCCCTTTTTTCATGCGTGCCCAGGTATAAGTGTGAGAACAGCCTCTCTGGTCAGCTGGTCTGTTTTTAACTCTCAGAGTTTAGTGTGTTTGCTTTTAGGCAAATGAAAGAGCATTTAGACCAAAAATATTATCAAACTTATCAATTCTTCCTTTTTTATTGTTTACTGTAATTCAGCATCTGTCTGAAGCTGCAGCCTTTACAATTAGCATTTAGCATTAAGGTCAAAGAAAAGTAACCAGGAAAAGGATTTTAAACTGTCCTTGTTGACTTTGTAAAGCAGAGTGGTGGGTGGTGGGCCAAACCATCTTGTATGCATCTATACCTGGAAGCAGAACTCCGAGTCCATATTTGAACATTACTTAACGTCAGCTAGTTCACTGAAGAGCACAGTATTGGGGCTCAGCCATCCTATCTCACACCTTAATTTCCTCCCATGGTTGAACAACACAGTCTTCACCTGTAACAAACATGACATTTTTACACCTGGTGCATCACATGAACGTTTTGCCTCATGTAAAGAAATATAAATTCAGTCGTTGTCCAGGATCAAAGGCCTGACTGGCCTCCCTCCATCACGTCGCACTCCGGTCTCCGGCCTGAATGTGAGCAGTGTTAGGACGCGATGGAAAGGGCGGACTCTCGAATCTACGCAGTGCTGTTTACACAGACCTGGTGTCGTCAGAGCTGCCATAACACAGGCTTCACAGGGAACAGATCTGGTCTTATGGGCCCAGTCTCTGTGGGAGTGGACCTTACCACAGCGGCTGAATGAATGCAGTGTGGAGCTGGCCACCAGCACCACTCACACAAACTCAGTGCTAATGAGCTGTCACTTAGCCCAGACATCGACCCTCCAGCTTTAGGGGTTCAAAGAAAGAAAGAAAAAAAGCATTATGTGAAATTCTGTGCTAAATCTGGACATCCAATCAGATCGTGCAGTTACTGCCCATTTGTTCACCAACTTCCTCCAAAAAGCCAAAAGCAAAAGTTTACCAGTAGAAAACATGAAGCACGAAGTAAATAATTAAAGTAGAAAATATCAAATGTCTATTTGTATGTGAGCCAGTTTAAGCTTTAAGGACAGGCTGAGCCTTTCACCGATCGTTTATACAAGAGCCATTTATTGATTTATTTGGCTCATGAGCAAGTTTGCTAATAATGTTGGCTGAACTAGCAGAAAAAATGATAGTGCTGTTTTAACGGCAGCCTCTTCCCGCTGCAAATGCAGCGATTCATCTACTCAGAACAGCAGCAGCCTCTGTTCAGAAAACAACAATCATCATTTTATTTAAATAAAAACCCCACAATGGTGGGGAGGGAAACAGAGAGAAACTGGCTTCTTTTTTCCACTGTAACCACGTTTCCAGGACGTTCCAGTGTGTATCTCTCTCACACACTTGGCCAAACAAATACAAATTTAAAGAAAAAAGTATGTTAAAAATCAAAATGTCTCTTCCAGCGAACATAAAAAAAATCTTAGAAGTAAAGTTAAGTCTTGTGGCATTTGGCACATCTCAAATAAATAAATGAATAATCCAAAAAGTAGCTTTATTAATACTGAAATAAACAAGAAAAGAAGGTAAAATGTTCCCTCCAAACAAAACATGTAAATTCTAAACGCACAAATCAGTCCCTGCACGGTTCCACTGCTCCGCCCATCAAAAGGTCACCTATGCAAATATATTGGTCACTGGACTGACGACTTACTACAGCTTTGTATTTATACATGAAATTTGGGGGGTTTATAATTTCCATTATCAGTTCAGATTAGCTGCAGTAGTTTTTGTTTCAGTGTAATTTTATTATTTTCAGCGTAATTTTTATTATTACTGAATTATTATGATAAGTATAGTCTTTAGCAGAGACAAAGAACCTGAAATCTTTCTGTGATCATTTGAATAAATGATCAGAACCAGCCTCTACAGCATCTCAGTACAGCACGTTTTACACACTCAGGCTATGGACTGCAGGAAGTAAGAAACTGAGGTTATAATACCTTTGTGGTCTCATTTTAATTGACCTGTTCTTCAACAGTTTAGATTAAGTTCTCTTTTTTCACTTCTAAAGGTAGGACATAAAAAAAAGGATTAGCATTTAACATCAGCGTCCAAGTGTGACGAAGAGTTCGAGTCACTGTCGTGTTCCTGCTAATTTTCCTGTTTGATTTTTAGGATGAACATGATCCGGGGGACGGTGCTGATGGCTTTGTATGTGACTGTCACCTCAGCCACATATGATGTTTATGAGCAGCAGTCCTATATGGGTAAGAAGTGCAGCTTACAGTTTCTCTCCAGTGTCCTCATCAGTCAGCACTGGCGTGTAGCAGTCTTGTCTTTCTACACTGTGTGCATGTCTGACCTTCACAGACCCAGAGGATGTACTGAGTGTCATCATTCTCCTGGAGGGTCCACAGCGCCCTCTGCTGGGGGGAACGCTGATGTTACCGTGCCACTTTGAGGTGTGTAAATGGCAAACTACACCTTTGTTTTGTGTGCCATATAAAAGAAGGCCTTAGCCACCATGACATCATTAGCTTCAGCGTTAGCGTTAGGAGCACACGTGTTAACCACTACACAGAATGCAATAGATCAGTAATCTCAGCAGACCTGACATCAAAACAACAGTACAGCTGCTTAGTCAGCAAATAAAGTAACAGAAGCTTAGATTGAACCTGTCATATTACTTTAACTACCTGACATGCATGTACGTATGTTTGTGTCTATAAACCCTCGAAAACGTTTGTAAATGATGTCGCCTCTCATAGGATCACACTGTTGACGACCCTGGCGCTCCCACCATTGCCCCCTTGTCTCATCGGATCAAATGGAGCTTTGTGACTAAAGAAAAGGCCACAACCATCATTGTTGCCCAGGGGGGGAAAGTGCATATCACTGAGAAGTACCAGGACAGAGTCCAGCTGGTAGCTTATCCTGGGACCCCGACAAACGCTAGCATCAGGATATCTGAGCTGCGTTCCAGTGACACGGGAGTGTATCGCTGTGAGGTTCAGCACGACATCGAGGACAACCACAGCATCGTGCACGTCCAGGTTCAAGGTATGAGTGACACATGATGTCTGCGAGGCAGGAGTTGATACCTTTTCTTTTGATTTTTTACTTTTATGTGATAGTGTTGACAAAATGACCAAAATTATATGGATTTTTTGGTCACATCACACCATCGCTCTTTCTTATTGTTATCCCACTTTTTGTCTCTCCAGGCACTGTGTTCCACTACAGGGCCATCATGGGACGCTACAGTTTGACTTTTGAAAAGGCGAAGGCAGCGTGCACCCAGAATAGTGCAGTAATGGCTTCACCTGAACAGCTCCAAGCGGCGTACGATGACGGTTTTCACCAGTGTGACGCTGGCTGGCTCTCTGATCACACAGTCAGGTCAGCACCCACCCAAGGAGCAACTACTCACTAGTTTTATTTCCAAAATTTATAACATGGCCCTTCATAAAAGCAAGAAAAGAAACATATTTGAGAAATCTGCCAAAAACGAAAATGGCTAAATTCACTTTTTTAAACTTAAGTTTAAGCCAGCGCTGAGGTCAGAATTAACCAAGCAGAACAACATAGGACTAAAACTCATTTTTCTGTTCAGTAAAAAACTGTAATTTGGCATCTTAATCAAAAAAATGTTGATTAAGAGCTGGTAAAGTTTGGTGAGCGGGGATTATGGTGCGGGGCTGGAGTTGGCCCCGTAGTTCCAGTCAAAGAAACTCTTAATGCTTTAGCATAACAAGACATTTTGGAGTTTTGGGGAATGTTCCAACATGACTGCGCAGCAGTGCGCAAACCAAGGTCCATAAAGATGACTGAGGTTGGTGTGGAAATACTTGACTGGCCTGCACGGAGTCCTGAGCTTAACCTGATATGACAACTTTGGGATAAATTAGAACAGAGACTGCAAGACTGCAGATTATGATATCCCCAAATTACTTGTAATAGTTTATAGAGAAATATTATTTCTTTCCATTCCCACTTATGAAGCACCAAGCCTCTCCTTTCTTTCCTGGGCATGTTTAGCAGTTAATACAATTCGTCGTACTGGGAGTTTTCTTAAAATAGACATATTTTCCAGTCTGCTCTCAACTTCTTTGAAATGTGTTTTTAAAACACTTTACTGTGGATTTAAGGAAAAACATGAAATCAACGAATTGTGGTCTGAAAGGACAAAGCTAATGTGAGCAGATCATAATGTGCTCATGTTAAACTTCTGTACAGCAGCAAACATGAGTTTAGTTTTCAGTGTTTTCTTCTTCACATTACTTTGTTTAACCACAGGTACCCAATCCAGAGTCCTCGTATGAACTGCTATGGTGACAAAGTAGAACTGCCTGGAGTCAGGACCTACGGCGTGAGGGATCTCAATGAGACTTATGATGTTTACTGCTTCGCTGAGAAGATGACAGGTACACTTTAATGCATTTTAAACTCATCCTTTCATGATTTGTATTCTTTATTTTTCTCACAAAGCTCTTTATCTGAGACAGGCAGAGTTTTCTACACTGCGACTGCAGAGAAGTTCACCTTCTCAGAGGCTGTGTTGGCATGCTCTAATAAGGGTGCTCAGCTGGCCACTACAGGTCAGCTGTACCTGGCCTGGCAAGGAGGGATGGATGTCTGCAACGCTGGCTGGCTCGCAGACAGGAGTGTCCGCTATCCCATCAACATTCGTAGGCCACAGTGTGGAGGCGGGCTGATCGGGGTACGGACTGTCTATCTTCACGCAAACCAGACAGGATATCCTCTTCCCGAGTCTCGCTGTGACGCCTTCTGTTACACAGGTATCGCTCACACAATAAAAGCACACAAGTGTGCATCTGTACTTTCACTAGCTTTGTATTGCCACATTTTACATGTGCAGGAAACAGTTGCATATTACTAGAACCTACATATACTAAACAGACTAAAGTACAAACCTCTGAATCTTTGAATCCTACAGCCCCAGAGATGCCACGGTTTCTCTGGGGCTGTAGGATTGTCATGTCCTGCACACACTGATCAAGAGAGTGTGATCAATCACCTGTCACCAGAGTTGGAGGGGCCTTCTGTTGACACTGTTCAGAAAGACAGTTCTGCAGCAGAAACCTCCTGGTGATTCCCTTGGTTGCTAGCAGCTTGCTGCACCAACACAAACCACAGACAGGGACTGTTTGTCTTCAATGTAAAAGATGCAACTGTGGAACAGAGCTTTTACTCTGAAGGCCAATAATTTCTCTTTACTGTTTGTGTGCCATTGTTTACAGTCTTATAACCGCTCGAAGGGTGAGCGGTTACACTTGCTAGCAGACAAGTTGAGATCTTATCTGCAAACTACGAACAACTGCAGCAATCTAAAAGTAAAGAGGTTTTCACCAACCAGTTTACCATTCAGAAGGTCACTGACTGGTCTCTAGCCACTGACATAATAATGCCACAGTCAAATGTGGGACTGTGGCATTATTCACTTGATCAATACTGCATCACGTGGCCGAATGGTGCAAAAAAATCATGCAGTTTGCAAATATCTGTGAAAAAAGAGTCGTTCTAAAGAGCTCACTGAGTGTAGTACTGTAATAGGACGCCAATGCTACACATCAGCTGAACTTTCTTCCCCCTTGCGAAGTAAAAGTGTATAGGAACCACAGCAACTCAGCCCGAAAGTGGCAGACCACTTAAGTTACAGAGAGAGGTCAGCCAGTGCTGTGGTGCATGGTGTCTAAAACACGCCAGTACTCCACTGACGCAGTAACTGCAGCTTCCCAGAGCTTCCCAGAGCTCCTCTGGCATTAACATCAGCACAAAAACTGCACTGGGAGCTTCATGGCAAGGGTTTCCCTCACTGAGCAGCTCCTGTAGTTCTAACATGTAGGTGGTGTCGGTCAAGTTACTTGAAAAAGGTAATTCAAAAGTAATTAGTTACTTTATTACTTACGTAATAAAGCAACAGAACTTTCAGCCCAGTTCTATTTTTTCTGCATAATCCATCATACAAAACTGAATCAAATGAAAAAAATGTTTGGTGGAGGTTTGCCCACAGCGGTCATGTCAGTGGGAGGATCCGGGGGTTTCTCTGTGGATGTCACATTCCCGTGGCAGCGTGCTCGCTCAGATTTGAAGTTTAACTTTTCGCTGTAGAAAGAAGTTTTCTTCCCACACAGAGTGAACAGCAGACGCTAATGTTTGTGTCACTTTTTACTGAATCAAACTCAAAGTAATGTGATTACTTCCACGCTGTAAACGCTGCACGGTCGTACTCTCTCCTGCACTCCATATTATCCGTTGTTGATCTGCACACGTCTGTTACCACGGACGTTGCACGCTCGTACGTCGTTGTCATGAGAGACTCTCACAAACAAAATCAGGTTTTAGTAACGCAGCGTGCTTACGGGAAAGTAACAGCAATCTAATTACTTTTTGTGACACTTTGACTACGACATGACATTTTGGGATTTTATATAAATAATACATCATATTGTAAGTTTTTCAATGACATGTGTATCATTGAATACTGTGAGTGGATAAGGCCTAATTAAAAGACTAGGGCTAGGGTTAGACTGGGTTAGACTGGGTAAACGGCTCCAGGGCAGATTCCCAGGCTAATGCATTAACCTTATGGCCTATAGGTGGCTTGCTCAAACCAGCTCCTCCAGAAGATTCTTTAAAAACTCACCTTTAGACGTCATCTCCTCTGTCACCTCCAGAATCGACTGATGAAGACGGCTCAGGCATGACAGAAGAGGGCAGCGGTGTGCCGCGAGTCACCACAGTGACACAGAGCCCAGAGGTGTTCTTCAGGAGCACGACGACAGAGAGTGAGGCTGCCGGAGAGGTGGAGACTATGATGCCTACTAACGTGGACTTCACCTACACAGAAAGCCCCACCGACCCGCCTCTGGCTGAGCTGCCAAACATCACCGAGTCTGTCACTAATCTGATACAGTCAGCCACAGCACAGCCGGATGTTGGCAGGGAGCCACACAAAGGCTTTGTGATACCTCCAAGCGGTCAGTAAATGAGCCGCTGATGCATGCTATAATAACTGAAGAAGGACCAGAGAGATTCCCTAATAATGACGTTCCAGGATTTCAACCCACAGTAGTCTCTCCTGATTCCTCTACAGGCGTGGTCTTCCATTACCGTTCAGCTGCAGGCCGCTACGCTTTCACCTTTGTCGAGGCCCAACAAGCCTGCCAGAGTGTTGGAGGCTCAATCGCCACGCCTCAGCAGCTGCAGGCAGCGTATGAAGCTGGATACCAGCAGTGTGACGCAGGTTGGCTACTGGATCAGACTGTAAGGTAATTCTGGATTGCTATTCTGGAGCAAGTGAAGAGATTTCTGTTTTAAACCAGGTTTTATAGTTGGGTGCTCTTGTGTAGGTATCCTATCGCTTACCCTCGAGAAAGCTGTGTTGGAGATCTGGGAGATCGACCCGGGGTTCGATCCTACGGTCTGAGGCCAGCACACGAGAGATACGATGTGTACTGCTACACTGACGGGCTCAAAGGTGATAAAAGCCTAAAGTTTTAGTTATGACTTTGTAATATTGTATAGATTTTGGTTATTCACTGTCATCTGTTCCACAGGAGAGGTTTTCCACATTGAATCAGCTGAAGGTTTCACTTACAGTGAGGCTGTTCGTAGCTGTCAAGAGCAGAACGCCACAGTGGCCTCCACAGGACATCTCTATGCTGCCTGGAAAATGGGCTTTGACAAGTGCCGTGCAGGCTGGCTACTAGATCGCAGTGTGCGCTATCCCATCAACAATCCACGTGCGGAGTGCGGAGCGGGGAAAATAGGAGTGCACACTGTGTACAATCACCAGACTGGCTATCCTGAACTTGATGCCAGATTTGATGCTTACTGTTTCAGAGGTAATTCTGAATGTCTCTACTATTCATTAACCCTCTGAGGTCTAACTACACATTTGCTTTTTAAACTATTCTCCCAATTTTGGCAACCAGGGGACAGAAAATTCATTTGTCTTTCTCCCAAACAGGGATTCTTATATTGACGATTTATACCTTATACTTGACTCTTAACCACCATGATCATCATTCACTTACATTTTCACAGCTGACGTTCGGCTTATTGCAGATGAAACTGGACTGAACGTCACAGAAATTGAGGAGGCTCTACTAAATCTGACATCAGCTACCCATTTGTTACGACCTGGTGAGTTCCCTTCAGAGCATGACTGGATTACCCATTTGTTCCCGTTTGTTTCTAAGCTTAACTTTCAATTTCTGTTCTCAGCTGTTCCCTCCATATCTCCTCCCATCAATGTAGAGAATTCAGGCTCTGGTTCAGGCTCAGGAGACACTTCTGTAGTAGATTACACATCTGGAGGTCACTCTGGAGAATCGTCTGGATCTGGACAGCCATGTTTGTCTGCAGACGAGATTTTCTCCTCTGGTTCTGGAGATAAGGCTACTTCTGGAGATGGCTCTGCTTCTGGAGACCTCCCTTCCTCTGGCTCTGGAGACCTGGCTGGCAGTGCGCATGCTGACCTACCCAGCGGAGAATCAGGTCCCAGTAGTACAGATGTTTCTGGATCAGGTAGTGGAGAAGGGTCCACGATCAGTATTTGTTTTTCAGGCACTGACTCCACTCCTTCAGGCGAGGACTCAGGTTCTGGAGGACCTCAAGAAGCTGGAGAGGGAAGCACAGAGATCCTTACTTTCCTTTCATCTGATGTGGGATCTGGAGTGCTGAGTGGTAGTGGGGATGCGTCCTGGTCTGGATCTGGTTTCAGTTCTACAGAAAGTGGTTCTTCCACAGACATGTCCTCTGGTTTCGTCACTGGTCAGGAGTTTTCTGGCTCTAGCAGTTTTCCATCCAAATTTTCCTCTGGAAGTGGTAGTGGACAGTCAGGAGAGCTTTCAGGGAGTGGAGACGCTCAGATCTTATTGATAGATGATAAACTGATTGATGCAACCACCTCCAGTAAATACAGTGAGCTTAGTGGAGACTTCTTCAGTGGCTCTGGGGACATTTCAGGATCTGGCGTTCTCATTTGTGATCTTAATGGAGATTGCAGTGGTGACCTCAGTGGAGACCTCAGTGGGGACCTCAGTGGTGATCTCAGTGGGGACCTCAGTGGAGACGTCAGTGGGGACCTCAGTGGGAACCTCAGTGGTGATCTCAGTGGGGACCTCAGTGGGGACCTCAGTGGAGACGTCAGTGGGGACCTCAGTGGGAACCTCAGTGGGGACCTCAGTGGGGACCTCAGTGGGGACCTCAGTGGAGACGTCAGTGGTGATCTCAGTGGGGACCTCAGTGGGGACCTCACTGCCTCGGCCTCGGAAGGGGTCTTTGAATTTTTCCCTGGTGTGACTTTGGTGGGTTCAGGGTTCACTGAGCTGACAGGGTCATCGTCTGGAGTGGAGGAGGAGGCGTCTGGGGTTTTACTCTACAGTTCTGCAGAGGGAAGTGGTGGATATCTGTCTGGATTTGGAAGCTCAAGTTTTCATTCTCTGTCTGGATCAGGACTTTCTGCATACGAGTCCTCTACAAGTGGAGGAGGAGGCAGTGTTATCTTTCAGTCTGAGGATCTAATGACAAAGGTATCTGAAAACACATCACCAGAGGACTCAGGCACGCTGTTTTCGGAGCTTGGTAAGGGGCCGTTGGAGTACAGTGGAGAAGGAAGTAGTAGTGGCAGTGGTTCTTACCCTGGGAGTGGAGACTCTGACTTATCTGCTGCCAGCACGACTTTTTCAGAAGGCCCTTCTAGGCATCTGCCAGTGGCCTATCCCATCATTGAGTGCAATGTGACAGAGAGCACCACAGGACCACAGGAGGACCCTAATGGCGTGCCAGAGACCCCCGATGATGTCCCTGTAACTCTGGCCCCTGCGGTTGTCCCGGCAGGACTAGCAGCACCTCCCATTACAGTTGCACCACCCTCTGTTCAGACATCAGGCCCTGTTGAAGGTTAGTAAATATATTCTTGACACTATTTAGATTTTCTGCTCTGGATTTAAAATATCATGTCCTTTGGTAGTGTATCAAATCAGCATGAAGTACTCTGTAGCTGTTTGTGCCAATTAAAATGTTCAGTTCATTACTTTTAAGGGTGTCACTATAACCATAACCACTAGGTGTGTTTTGGTGGTGGTGGTGGTGTGTTGATGTGCTAGCTGCTGCAAATATGCACCTTTGAGAGGAAACTGTTGTTTTATTGTAGTTCCTGAAACAGATGGTTAACTTTATACTTGCTTTTGCTTGGTGGGATTCAAAAAATCAAATCATTCATCAGCAATAAAAACTAAGCTGTGCATCAGATTTGAATGATTGTTACCTGAAAAAGTTAGCGTGTGCCAAGCTAGCTGCTACTTACTGTTAGCAGCACGTTACATGTCTACGTAGTCATTCTCACCTAAGCGACTTCTTTGATTTGATGCCAAACTACAGGAACGGCTGCCTTACCCTGTCAACTGTTTTCCATGCATGGTTTAACTTGTGCCGTCAACAAAGCAATAATAATGATAATAAACTTTATTTATAAAGCGCACTGAAAAACTAAGTAAGGCAGGGCTGCAGAAGCATCCACCCAGTGGGCCTGTGGCTGTAATGAGACCCTGTGAGTGGGAACCACCCAGCCTAAATGTTGTTGATACTTTACCTGTGCGAGCTATGATCTTCTTCTAACATTCAAAGTGTGCAAAGAAAAATGAACACAGACATTAAATGTCAAGAATAGAAACAGTTAAATGTTGAAGTGTGTCACAAACAGATACAAAGTTTAAAGAGAGCAAAAACTAAATAAATGATCAAAAGGCGTTTATATTAAAGTCTTATTGATCAGGAGGTACAGTTGGTACCAATCAGAACATCAGTGGTATGATTCCCGCTCTACAGATACTCTACGTGGAGCTATGCATCCATGGTCTTCTGAGTCAGGGAACATCAGGTTAAAGGGCTCAGGCAGAGAAAAAAATCCCTCGTATACATGAGAACAGAACATTTACCAAAGCTGTGATAAAGTCTTATTTCTTTTACTTTCCTACACCTGATTGTGAGCCGACTCGCAGCTTGACATATTGCACAGTCAGTGTTACAGGCAGTGCGGATATCAGTTTGATTTTTACATGTGCACTGAAACTGTTTAACCCCGACTAAGTGAAGAAAATCAGAAACAGAAGTGATTTTAGTGACCTGCAAGGTTTTATTCTTAGTTTAGTGACTGATGGAAAAGTAAGATATGAATCCCTTTATCCCTGTACATGCAACAGCTGGTCGTGTGTATTTAGTTTTACTTTTCAAAAGTAAAGGCCTAGAGACTGGCTGGTGATCACATAGCAAACCCAAATCCTTGCTGCCGCTAACAACTGCTAAATGAGTGAAACTCTGGTTATTGCTGGGTTTTCACCCATGACAGGTGTCTCTGAGGCTCAGCTTATCAATGCACAATAGAAAATACTTGAATTTTAGCATTAGGCCCCTTAAAAATAATAAGTTCACAAGTACACTTTCTGTTAATTTGTTGACGTCTTTTGGAAACTTGCGCAGGATCTACATTACTTGTATCTTGCAAAATTTCAATGCCAGCACAGACTCAGTGTTTACATTTCAGCCTAACTGTGCTGACAAGATGATAAGTCGTAAGCCCAACCAATCACTGCACTCGTGGCGTCACAGTTTTTTGAGAAGCTTAACAATAAATATAGTTTAAAAAATACAGAAACACTTGAAACAACATGCTTCTTAATCTATGTCTTTCTTTCTCTTTCTTTAGTACACCGTATACAGTGTAGTATACACAGTGTAGCTGCATGTGCTGCATCCTTCTCAGCCTCACACTGTGATGCTTTTCCACTCCAGTACAACATCACAGTGAACATTTTGTCTGTTTTGCTGTTGGTGTTTTAAAGAATTTATTATCTATATTTTCTTCATCGTGTCTCATTTGTTATTTTGCCTCCATGGATCTCTTTTCTATTTTGTTTTTGGCTGTTTTTTTGACTTTTGTGATCTGGTTCATTGAACGTTTATTCTTCTTGAGCTCTCAGTTTTTATTAGTGTCAGGTTGTGTTTTGTTCCCAGTTTGTCTTCTTTATTATTTTAACTGTAATTTTCTGGTGTTTTAATGGAGCTAATACTTACTTTTGTGTTTTTTCCTCTGCTCATATTAATTCCAGTGGAAGAATTTTTGTGTTGTGTTTTGTTTTAAACTCTTGGTAAATATGTTCCGGTTTGTGTTTCTGGTTTTCTGTTCCTATATTGAGAATTCGTCACACTTATACCTTTTAAGCAGTTCATCTGTATAATTAATAATGTCAGTGTATACATGTGGGTGTGCTCATCTCACAGTCTTTTCCGTCTTAGAGATATTTGAGATGCCTAAAGCCAAAGCCTCTTGTGTCTTTCTAAGTTGTGCTGGTGTGTGTCATTCATGGAGGACGTGTTGTGTGAATCAGTGTGCATTGTTTTTAAGGACATGTTGGCCCATGTGAACCGAACCCCTGTGGCGATGCTTCATGCACTGCAGAGAACGGCGTTGCCTTCTGTGACGGTAAGTTTCTCATTTCCTTCTCTGACAGCAGCTTCGTTCAGTACCTGTTAACAGACTTTGCCTGAAACATTTCTGTTTGTTGTCTGCATGTGTTACATTGTTGTTGGTCTGCAGTCTGTGCATTAATCAGCCTGTTATCTGAGGGTTTATTTCCAGATAAACATTTAACCTGTTGTAACTGTAGTCAGTGTTCATGAAGCAGACTCACAGTCTCTGTTTTCCTTCTCTGCTGTTGTGTCCTGACTGTATTTTTGCTTGGGTTTGTTGTCTCTCTGTGTCGAGCTCTGGGTCTTTGTGTTTGTGTGACAGATGTTCACGTTCGGCCGTTTGTCAAATGTGCATCGTCTCTGCTCTGAGGATTTACCGCGTCTGTGTCTCGTGTTCATCACAAGTGTCTTCTTCAGCCTGTGTGCTGTTTTTGGTCTGCCATGCCAGCACGCCTCCTCTGCTCATGCATGCTAAATCTAACTGCTGCAACAAATGTGCTTTCATCCTGCTGGGAGTTAAATGGTGATTTTTCTGCTGCAACTAGCAAAGGATTCAAAGATAAACTTACTGCAGGGACTAGAATCATTCTTCCTTGCAACAATCGGATATTTTGGTGTATATTTCAGTATATAAATGTCAATGTCATTCGCACATGCTAACCTGAGAGAGCTGTTAACAAAGGAACATGGATGATGATTCTAGGTGCAGTAAGTCTAATCTGAAGTTGCATTGCATGGTATTGTTCCCCACCCTGCTGATCCGCCTCCCGTCCCCACACCTCGCTGTAACAGTAGTGTTACCCGCCCCCCTTTTTTGCAGAGGTAGATGTGTGCCGTTCCGACCCTTGTGCCAATGGAGCCACCTGTGTGGAGACTGTAGACTCTTTCAAATGCTTATGCCTGCCCAGCTACGGAGGGGAGCGCTGTGAGATCGGTATGAGATCAGCTTCAGCTAAAAAATACTAACAACCTCAAAAACAACTGAAGCAAGAGAACGAGAGGCATCACCAGCAGATGGCAGTATTAGTTGTTGTGTGAGCAGCTGTGGTGGCTCATGGCATGTATCTGTGATGTTCCTGGTTTGCAATGGGAGCCTGTGTTCTGTCAGAGAGGCAGTAATGGTTTAGTGGTTTTACTGCTGCAAACATTTACTAAACTTCTTTTTACTGCAGCAGTCATCCAGGTGAGCCAGAGTAACAGTGAACGTGTTACAGAGCATCGTAATGTACAGAAAAACATTCTTTAGACCTTCATAAACTTCAGTCCACACTCAGGCCTGCAGATCTTTGGTGTGAATTATTATTATAATTTCTTTCAGTTATTCACTTACATTGTTTACATAGTGCCAGCTCACAACAACAGTCATCTCAAGATACTTGTAAGGTGTAAGGGAAAGAACCGACCATAGACAATATTCAGAAACGAGCCCAACAACCAGGTGGTCTCTTACAAGCAAGTGCTTGGAGACAGAGGGAGGAAGAACTCCCTTTTAACAGGAAAAAACCTGTTCACCAGGTCCAGTCCTAACAGAGCTTTATTAATAATGAGAGTTTGTCTGTCTCTATTGGAGTCCCTAAGTTTATTAACATTTAAATGATTAAAATGATTAAAAATAAACTACACAAAATAAACTAGACTAACCAAAACAAAGCTGAAGATAGCAGCACGTGTAGTTCAAACTCAGAGGAGTGAGACAGCAGGCACGTTGGGCTCAGAATAAAAACTAGACCAACAGTTGTGTGCAGAACTGTCTCCAATCCAAACTGGGAGCTGGTTCCTTAGAGCTGAAGGCTCTGCCTCCCAGTTTACTTTCAAACATCCCAGGAAGTCAGCCCACAGTGTGAGAGGGAAGTGCTCTGTTGGGCTAGTTTGACTGATCGTGTGATGGGGTCTGATCATTCATTCAAGTTCTTCTTTTAACTGGGACCTTAGAATAGAAACTAATAATATAAGATCTCTTTTTAATCCCAGCAGCGTTTTGGTTCAACTGAAGGCTCTTCCACCTGAAAACGAGGACTTTCCACAGCCCTGCCTGTGCAGGGACCAGTGTCTGTGCATCTCTGTGAGACGCGGTGGTTCTAATTGTAGCAGTGTTGCACAGATGAGTAAAATCAGGTCCACAGATTTATTTCATGTGCAGATTAAAGGACACGTGCTGACCAAAAAGGGGTTTTCACGGTGTTACTGGAGGCCAGTAGAATAAAATCCAGTGTAAATAGAAACGTTCCTGAGATTTCTAGGCCCAAATCCAACATTGCGAGTTTTTTCTTAATTACAGAAATAATTTACATTATTAAAGACGTGTTGTATGTGGACAGGCAAAGCATCTCAGAGGTGGATGTCTCAGATAAATCCAGAGTTGTCTGCTATAATAGAGCTAAACAGGACTAAATGGAAAAATGTGTGTGTTTTGTGTCATTTGTTTGAAGTGGCCCATAAATGAAAATGAACAGAACGGAGCTACAGAGTGAATGAAGCCTTTGAATGCTGCAGTAAAAGGTGGAAATTGGGCAGGCCCTACTGTCCAGCAGGATGCTACGCCTGATTTTCCTCTCAGTAAAGAGTTGTTTGTTTTGTAGGTCAGGATGGAAACGCTGCCCTTTGTCAAACTGTACACAACAGCAAACCCACTCAGGGCAAAGTGTGATTCTCACTGACTCACAACATCAACAGCCGAGAGCAAAAATCAATAAAGTGAAGAGAAGATGGCGCTTATGAAGCGCCTTGAGGCAACTTTTGTTGTGATTTGGCGCTATATAAATAAAATTGAATTGAACTTTACTTAGCACACTCGTTTGTAGTTGTGGACGAGTAACAAGCTTTAATGAACACTTCGTATCTAAACTCTGAGCCCTGAAAAAGACGCGTTGCATTGAGAAATCTGTGCGCTGAAGTGAGCGAGCGGTCTCACAGTGCTCATTCTTTGCTGTTGCGGCCGCAGAGGAGCAGCCGTGTGAAGAAGGCTGGACTAAGTTTCAGGGGAACTGCTACCGACACTTCACCGAGAGAGAGACGTGGGTGACAGCGGAGCAGCGCTGCCGCGATCACAACGCCCACCTGGTCAGCATCATCTCCCCAGAGGAGCAGAACTCTGTCAACGGTGAGTATTTATCGGATGTGTGTGAGAGACGGGAGCAGAGAGAGAATCGAGGCACTTTGTTTTGTCTCCACAGCAAATGCACAAGACTACCAGTGGATCGGGCTGAATGACAAGACCATAGAGAATGACTTCCAGTGGACTGACGGCACTCCTCTGGTGAGTGGGCGTGTTGGACTGAGGGAACAGGATATTATTCACACTGGGTCAGAACAAAAATCTATCAGTGCTTGAACTAAGGAAACGCACAGTTTGAGTGTGATGGCAGCAACATTGTCATGGTGCTGGGTAGTTGACCCAGCGTTTTGGCGTTATTATTATTATTAGCTGATCTGATGTTTAATTTCTTCATGGTTATATTTATTAGTATGTAGGTTTCATTTTCAGGGTTTCCAGTTCTAGGCAGGGCTGGACTGGGACAAAAAATCGGCCCGGGCATTTTGACTAGAGACCGGCCCACCAGGTATTATAGGAAAA